TTGGCCTTTCCTAAATATTCCCGTTATTCGACGGTTTTTTTTCAGTTAGAGATACAAAGTACAGTCAATTTTAAAAAATAATCTCCTCAATGTATCAACGAGATCCGAAATGGTAGGTACACGATACCTAGCTCATTGAAAGACTTAAAGGTAAGCCAATAGGTACCTAATATATTTCACGCAAGGTAATATACCTATTATCAATAGACCTTGCATATATTGCTCCGTCTAGAATCTAAAAACACAATTTCCACTAGGTACCTACGTGTTCAGTGTTTCCCAATAGAGTCATGTTTAGTAGGTACGAGTAGATTATCTCCGGATCTCTATATTAGTTACAATGACGGACGACCATGAGAGTGATTACTGATTAACATGGTATAAAACTATAAACAGTATAACAGTATAACAGTATACTATTATATTTACATATAGCTATACCCACATACTTTAATGGTTAAAAACTTTCTTATTTCATCATCGACCCCCCCTCCTTAACAAAAGAAATTATGTTTACGTCACTGCAGACCTTCCCCCGCACCTGCAGATCCGAAATTACCGTTTAATGTTTCTATGTTTTTTATTTTATAAAAAAAAAAAATAATTAATGAAATAATATGATATCAAAATTACAGAATTATAGCTACTCTCATCCCGAAATGAAATCGAGGACTAGACTAAATAGTCACTTAACAGTGCAAAGTAAACACTATGTAGCATACACAGCTGTATCGTATAAAATATTTGATAAAAATTAGGTAATTTTTAATAATACATTTTGTTGATTATTATTAATTTTTTTAATAGCTAAACAGTTTTAATTAAACTTTGCTAAGAATAATATTTTGTTTTATTTTAGCTAAATAGTTTTCCAATATATGGCTATACTATATCTAGTCTTATTATAGGTGTACACAGATTTCTTGTCGGTGCAACAAAATTGTTCAACCGGCCTGATAGAACAATATAATCAGCTCATCTACTTCATCATAGGGACATATCTACGGAGGAATAAATGGGTTGATTGTACCCTATGCTTACTATTAAATAAAGCGGCTAAGGGTATAATGCGGAGCTAAAATCAACAAAAGGGCCCCCCGGACAAAGTTTTGAATTTTAATTTTTCTACAAATTTCTAAGTTATAAAAAATTAATAATATAACTTAAATAATTACAATTTTAAAAAGATCTGATACTGCTGACAGGTATGTTATTATGTTAATGTTGTACATAAGAACTTGAGGTACAGTTATTCATAATTCATATCTGTATACGACGATAGATCATTGTTAATAAAGCGCTTCGCTCAGAATCTAAAACAATAGTTTTTAAAAATGCTAATAAATGTTAATGTAATTATATTATCAAATACCTACCTAAAATTGTCTGTGATTTCTATAACGAACAAGTAATTATTTCTTATCAGTACTCTGCAGCCTTCAAGCTGCGAGATTGTTATAATTAGGGCCAGGAACTTGATGCATTTGCATCTATTTTTCTAATGGTTATATTCAAGCCTTGTCTTTATAAGAAACTTTGACGTATCCGTATGTCATGCAGAATTCAAAGATGCAAATTTCATTTTGCAATTTTTGCATTTTTCCGGTTATTCTTAATTGAAAGTTCATTTTTTAACAATTTTAGTTCATTTTAGGAGTTTTTCTACTTTAAAATTAAATAAATAATAGTATTTGATTCAGAATAAGAATTAAGTTAAATTTCTATCAAATCAAACTTTGTATCATTACTAAATTTAATAACTCGTTTGGAATCTTCAAAAATATACCTTACTGACCGACTGACCTTATACAAGTTGTACAGAAAAACTAAAATGTAACTATAGCTCACAATATTGTTGGACTTGAAATACAAAATTAATGTTCAGCTGTTTTGGCAAAAATAGTAGATATAAAACAATGAAAATTATTTAAAAACATTAGAAGGAAAAAACCTACTTAAAGAAAACAGATGACATAAATTATTTTAAATATACGTTGTACCTATGGAATTCGTAAGAAGGTTATCTGCATATAAAACTTTTTATCTGACAACCCCTAATCTTTTTTGTTTTAAAATATATTATGCATACTTTAAATGTCCAATATAACACATTTAATAGTAAGAAAACATTTCCATAAATATTATGTATTATTGAATTTGCTTCATAATATACCTTTGGAATCTTCCTCTTATTTTCGATAATTTAAAACTATGCATAACCATATTTCGGGGACTAAGATTGACCCCCCCCCCCCCGCCGTAAATATGACACTAGCAGTGAATATAATGCACGTGGTTTGTCAATATCGCAATATATCTACGTGAATTAGATTAGGCAGCGAAATCAACAGTATTATGGCATTTTAAATTCAAAGCACAACGATGGATCTATTGATTTTACCATAATGTATGTTTTAATATTTTTTTTTTTTTTTTTACGTCTTTGAACAACTTTGCTACCAAAATTCTTACTCCGATGTATCAAATGTAGCAACTTTTCTGAAAGAAAATTTTATCTAGTTGGTTCAATAAACAGATCATTTTTTTTGAAATATCAAGAAGTTTTCAAAATAACTGGGAAAAATCCGAAAGAAAATTATAAGTAGCACGGCAAATATTTTATTATTTTAAATTTGTTCCAACTATGTTTTCTATCAGAAATATTACTACAATCGATAAATAAAAAGAGATCGATTTTATTCCTTTTATCACAAAACAACTAAGTAAAGTCGAAAATAAATCTTTTATTATTTTTAATTTTTTGTTTTTTTATGTAATTCAGTTTGAATTATTCGTAGAGAATTAAAGTGTTGACAGAAGACTTATATTTACTTTTTTTAGACATGGTAAAACTTTCAAAACATTTGATCAATTTTTCAGCTATTTATAAACATTTAAATTTTGTGAGTTTTACGTAATTTTCATTGGGTAGGTACTCTGTAGATAAATTAGACTTAGCATTTCTATGCTTCAAAATTTGATAGGAGGTTCATTATAAATTACACTTAGTGATAAAAAAAAATTAGGTGTAATATATTTTTTTTTGTTTTAAGAGTTTTATAATCAAATTGTGACGAAAATCGTCAATATTACGATCTTTCAAAACATGTATAACTGAACTACACTCCGAATCGTTTTTCATTACCAATGGTTTATCGAAAAAAATTTAGCCCACAGGCGGGGAATAGCTGTTCACTCTGTCCCCCACGTGTGAACACCTATGCGTGTAATATATGGCTATTTACTGTTTCAAATGTAAAATTCGTATATCAGTTATTATTTATATATTTTTATTAAAAATCTACTTTACTAATTGTTTTATTTTTTTTGCTACCTGTTCCACTTTTACAAATTAAAAATAATAATAAATCTTGTCACCACATTAGATAATAATTTGACAGAGACAAATCCAGGACAAGATAGAACGGGATAGAGAGAGTGTTTTATTTTCTATCTATAAGTAAGTTTTCGATCAGATATCTTGCTTCAATCAAAAAATTGATATACATTTTCTTATAACAATTTGGATCTATAGTTGATTCATTTGGGTGGTCATTATTTCATTTTCCTTATAGTTTTCTAATCAGGAAAAAAATATCATAAATTGGAATATTTACGTACCTATAATAACCGTTTCTGTTTTTCATCGGAATTCAACGTAAAGACCTGAAAATATGTAAATGGAATACTATAATATTGGCATATTATTTTCAAAATATTCTGACTTTGAGTTATTTACAGCTAGGTATTTGTTTTTTTCCATTCGTATCAGTGTGTTCGGATTTATGTAGATACATTTTTTAAATACTTAACTAAGTACTAGTTAAGTACTCAAAAATTTGATTCAAGATTTCTCATAAGTTTTCTTATTATAATATGTCTACAACATTAAATACATTTTGTTTTTTTTAATAAGCGTTTAAATTTCAAATCTGTATTTTACAATTTTTATCTGCTAAAACCACATCAGGTGGTTATACCACAAATGGTATTTCATTTGAAACATTATGATTTACCAAGTTAGAAACTATTTATGTCAATAATTATACTGTTGACTACTTATTATTAAATTTATTGAAACTCTCAAAATAAATCGAAAAAAACACATATTAGATTCGTAGGGAAAAACGTAGGAAAAAAGGGAAAATAGGAACGATATTAAACAAATATTATTAAAGAAAATATATAATGTTAATGTAATTATTTTACCATAATATGACATAATATATTATTACACAAGGGGTATAAGTGACATTATTAAAATATCTGAGTTAAGAGCACGGCTGAACTAAACAAATTCCATTTTATTGTGTAGTAAAGAAATATAAGACAATTATTCTACATATGCTGCGATCTAGTAACAAACACTAGATCTCACTAAAATAGTCTCTAAACGAAAATGTAACATATTAGAAGTAAATAGGTTCAAGGGTCCACAAAAATTGTTAACACACTTATGTATCTATACTGCCAAATGTTTAAAACTTTTTTTTATCATTCGAACATGACAACAGTGGTAATATGACAATTTACTATAATAATTGTATTAAATACAAATCACTTTAAACTTGATTTTTTGAAATCAAAAAATATCACTTATACCTCTTGTGTTCTAAGTGCCTCATATATAATAAGATGTAATATATTTTTTACAAAGCAACACTGTCTACTGAATTCCGCTCAAAATCGTTTTTCCGTTAGCAGTGGTTTATTACTTATAATACATTGTTTATACACAATACATTCAATTTCCTCCCTACTGCCTTCCCAACTTCTCACTTACAACAGTATCCCACCCACGTGCGAAGTATGTCCGTTTTTTTTAAAATTTTGTATCGATGTTTCTATAAGTAATTAATTATCTTTAATTATCGGGAATTTGGGAATCTAAATTAAAAATTCCTAATAATTGAATAATAAAATTGTGTACACATAAGACAGCTGATAGATAAGAATAAGAATAGTGTCACATACCATGATAAGTAGTATATTATTATCAAACGAAACTGTTGGATATTATTTAATCTCTTAACTATGATTTACTATCTTAAATCGTGATCTGCAACATATGTCACTTAAGATAAATATAATATAGTCCAAAAATTAAGATATACTTTATTTTAATATTAGTCCATAAAATTTATTTTTGTTCACAGTAGGTACTTGTTTGTATAGTTGCATATAATTTGGTTTTAAATAAGAATTAAAACAAAATCGCTATTATAATTTATTTTATTTTTTATTTGTATTGACAGAGTTTGAATAATGTCAGGCCCAGATTCGTACACTGATAATGTATGGAAACATACAAAAGGAAATGTCAACAAAAAGTTGGAACGTGCTCGGCCGTACAATTTTTTCTTGACTCCAGTAGATGCTAATAAGTCTACTCATACTGAAGCTTTGACTTTATCATTTCCAGGTAGATTATACCTTTTACTTCTACAAACATTCTTCTGTGTTAATAACACATTATACTAGTTTATTATTTATGTAACCAAGTGTAAAATGAATAATGCAACTTATTGTATCTATTTTGTTTTAAGAACTTTTAGATAAAAGTCTCGGTGAATTAACTGATTCAATGCATATTAATTTTGCGGTTGAACTTGGCTGGCTTTTTGCTCAATATCACATAACTGATCAAAGGTATTAACTATACATGAATTTAATTGTAATATAATGCATATTATAAAAACAAAATTCTGATTTAGAATATAATCAATTCAGTTATTTTTTTATAATACAGTTTTTTATGAGTTATGCTATATACTTTAATATAATTTGTATCTTTAAATAATAATATATGTATTGTTTTGTTGAAAAAAGAAAATTATGTTTCAATTTTTTTTTTCTTAGAGGAAAGCCCATAACACTTTTATATGAACATTGTGATCAAGATATAAATGCTTTGCAAGCAAAAAGGAAAATTCCAAATTTACATCATGCCATAGTAAAACCAAAAAATGCATTTGGTCATCATCATACGTTCGTAATATTTAACAATACAATAATTGTATTTTACTATATACATAATGATTAAAAATATTGTGCTTAATTATTTTAGAAAGTTATCCATATTTTCTTATAATGATGGAAGTATACGTATTGTGGTTATGACTGCAAATCTTCGCGAAGCGGATTGGTTAAACTTAACTCAAGGGTAGGAAATATATTGTAGATCATTTTTGTTAATCAATTATAACTTATTAATACATTTTAGAATTTGGGTAAGTCCGAAATTTCCATTGAAAGACAAAAATAGCAAATCTGATGGAGATTCCAAAACTGGTTTTAAGAAAGATATTTTACGTTATCTACGTTCTTATAATCTACCACTAATAAGACAATGGATTCAAAAAATTGAAGAGACTGATTTTAGTGAAGCAAAGTAAGTACTTACAAAAATGTTATGTATAATGAAAACTAAAAATAATTTAATATCGGTCGCGTAGTGTTTTCTTCATTTCTAGTGTTCCAGGCAAGTATTATGAGCCGATATGGGGACAGTCCTACTTAAAAAGTATTTTGAAAACACATGTATGTCTATCATCAGGTACACCATCAGATTGGCCTATAATTGCCCAATGTTCTTCTTTGGGGTCAATGGGAAAGAGCGACAGAGACTGGTTGACTACAGAGTTTGTTAAAAATTTATCCGCTTCTACCCATATTGATAGAACTACAAATAACGTTCCTTTCAACTTGGTTAGATAAAAAATTATTGTAATATTTTCCTTGAAAGGTATATATATATATTTGTATTTATACATATATTTTTCCAATAGATTTACCCAACTATACAAAATGTTATAGATAGTTGGGATGGACCTTTGGGTGCATTAACTTGTTTGCCATATACTAGCATGGTACACAAGAATCAAACGTGGCTTGAAAAATATATGTGGTTTGTATTGAATGATATTTTAAACTCTCTTGGTAATTTATGGTAACTGATAAATTGTTTAACAGCAAGTGGGTTAGTAATTCAAGAAAAAGAACAAAAGCCATACCACATATAAAAACTTATTGTCGAGTTTCACAGGATTGTACAGAAATGTCTTGGTTTTTATTAACTAGTGCTAACTTATCAAAAGCTGCATGGGGTAAAAAAACTTTATCAGACCAAAGTGACTACATACTATCTTATGAAGCTGGAGTTCTATTTGTTCCTCAATTTTTAGTAATTTATTTGTTTTTTTTTTCTATTTTATTATTACCTATAAATATTTTTTCTTTTGCAGACCGGATGTGATACATTTTCTTTAAATCATAATCAACACAATTTTAAATCACCGGCCTTCTCTCTTCCATTCGATTTGCCATTATTATCATATTACAAGAATGACCAACCTTGGGTTTCAGATTAAAACAAATATGAACATTTATTGTAAACATACTTCATATAAAGTTACAATCAAATTATTTAATACTTTAACTCACAGTTAAATATTATTTTATATACCTTTTTAAATCATCTATATGATTTCCATCAATTTGTTTAACCAATTGATTAATTGTTTATATTGGTGTGAATTGTATTAAATTAAATGTTTAAAACTGATTAAAACATTAGTTTGCTTGAATAATAAATCAATGTAGTTTATTTGATTCTGATAGGATTATCATTTGTAGATACCTTAATATTTTCTAAAATAAGTGCAGCGGTTTGATTCATTATGTATATCAATTGCATATGTAAACAAGTTTTGAGTTTTAACCACAAAAATCACGTATGTTACGCTAGCAATATTTGATGAGAACTGGTTCCAAACTGTAAATATTCTTATATAGGCATTAGATAGTTAATAAACAGGCAGAAATGTATAAAATAAAGTTAACTGAAAGGCGCTAAAAAGAAAATCGTAGGTATTACCATTGATTAATTTTAGATTCTGAGTGGAATGAGGAATGTATTGGTTTTACAATGATTTTTTTCTACTAGAAAGCATACTCCGATAATCAAGTATAGCACCGTTTCTGAAAAGGAATGTTTTCTTGGTGGTACTTTAGAGAAGTTATTTTTTAAAATTCTCATTAATATTCGAGATAATGAGGAAAACCTCGGCCTTTAGGGTGAAAAAGACGTCCTAGGATAATGGAGACAGGTGCAGCCACTGTTATAGATAATGTAGTGTATACCTGTAAGCAACGATAAACCATCACAACAAAAAATGATTTTGAGCGGAGTTCAGTTGATATTGTTGATTTGTCAACAATATATACATATTTAATTTTATAATAAAATAATTAAATAGGCTTTATATATTTTCTTTTATATTATTTGTTTATGTAGTACCAATTTTCCCATGTTTTATCCCGGTTTTTTACATTTGCTGGGAAAACTAATGGAAAAATCAAAAAAATGACCTTTCCAAAGTAGCTCCCTAGCGACATATTTAAAAACATTGCTATAATTAAAAGTTGGAGCTAAATTGCTGGTTGAAAAGTTGCGCACAGAAAAAAAAGACCATAATATATTTTAACTAATACCTACTTACATTTTTTATAATTTCCTGTTTTTTTTTTCGGTTTTTCAAATTTGATGAGAAAATCGAAAAATCATCTCTTTAAAGTACCTGGTTAGTGGTTTACTGCTAAAAATCTCCATTGGCCATCTATATTTTCTGCTAGTAACTACACAGATTTATATATAATAAACTTATAATAAATGTATTATAAATCTGTTGGTAACTGTGTCGTTTATTCTATAAACAAAATTAGTAGGCAGGTATTGATAAAAACCGTTTTATTAGTGATTTAACTAAACTATAAACCTCTATTATAGAAGATCTTCTTAGACCGTGTTAAAAATCTTTTATTTTTACTGTAGATCAACTGCAACAATATGGCTGAGTTAAATGTTGAGGGCAGTATTGCGATGTGTTATTATTGTTTGATCATTTTATTTAAATTTCCACAAACAAATATTATTTTCATTGGTGTATCACATTTTCGTTTCTTATTGCATTCATTGAACTTAAAATATGGACTGCGTGTTATGTATGATTTTCATATTAAATAAAATAAGCATAGACCATAGACCTTACACTATTATGAAAATATGCCTATACACGAACAGCCATAAGCATTCCGTTTTGATTTTTCATATTTGTAACCATGACAAAATAACAAAATAAAATTATTTATTCGGTCATGTTTGTAACCAACTTCAATTAGTGATAAAGACACTATCTTTTTTTTCGGAGATAACATTAATAACATAAACATGATTCTGAATGCATATGGCAACCAGTTGACCTAATTTCCATCAGGATCATATTTTGATTAATATATGCATATTGGGGGATAATTATAATACAAAATATGTAATAAGTAGAAATTTGTCATCATTTCTATTTTTTTAGTAAAACACGATGATGTGAACACTGTGTCTAATCAGTAATCAAATAGGTATGTTTGAATTTGAAACAAAATAGATAATGATTTCAAATGTGATAAGTCAGACAATTTGTCCTCATCACATTGTTGTCGTCATTTTGTGAAATTATTGGTTTATTATATAAAAGCTTTGTTTAACCAGTTTTACGGTTTGTTTATTACTCCAAACTTAATATAATGAGGATAAATAATGTTTTAACAAAATCGTGTCTGATTAAAAATCAGGTAAGGTTATTTATAATTTTGAATTTTGATAATCTCAATGTCAAAAGTCATACTACCTGTATAGGTTATTAAACGTAACATATATTTTTGTGACATTGTATTAATAATAATATGTATTTATACTAGTTTTAAGAAGATACGTTTTTAGTTCCGCAGATTTGTAGCCACAACAGAGAAACCAAAAGACGTTAAAGCTGATGTTAAAGGTTTGAGTTCCAAAGTCATCATTGCCAATCCATCACCTGGTAAAGAATAATATGTTTTACCAAATTATATTTGGTTAATTATTGGTTTTCCCCTTCGGGGAACAATTTATTATTAGTAACTATTGTTATTTCAATTTATTTGTTTATTATTTTTTTCAATGCTACAGAACGTGTGAAGAAAGCTGCAGAAAACGGCCCTTACAAGAATCCACAATATTTTAGTTATCATAAAACATCATATTTTGATGCTGAAATTGAAATGCTCCAATATAGATTACCAGTACCATCAAGTTTAAAGTAGATAATGTAAGATTTATATAATTATTTTGTAGGTTAACAAATATTAACAATATAAATGTAATATCATTGATTAAATATATTTAATCAAAGGTAATATTAAGTGTATTGTACATAAAAGTCCTGTAAAAAGATCTAATGAAATAAGTTTGATAGTAAAAATGTCCATATTTATATAAATAAAAAAAAAAACACACTTTGTACAATAGGTGGGCCACTAGGTGAGAAGTTGGGAAGGTAGGATATAGAAGAGAATTTAATGTATATTTGTACACAATGACCAATCATTGCTAACCGAAAAACGTCTGAGGGAGTTCGGTTATAAATGTTTTAAAAGGGCATAATATTTACGATCTTCATTAATATCTGATATTAAAATTCTTATAAAACAAAATTCTTCATTAAAATCAATTTATTATTCTTTTTTTTTTTATTTACCACAAACAACAAAATTATATAAAAAACTTGAAAAATTAAAATGTCTATAAATAGCTCAAAAATGTTTTGAAAATTTTACATCTAGAAAAGACAAATATGAGTAATGTTCTAATAACACGACAAAAAAAGTATTATTTTAGTAAAATTTTCCTATTTTTTCCCATTTGTTATGAAAGCCCTTAGGAAAATCCAAAAAATTACCTCAGTATCATCCTGGTACAATTAATTAATTTTATATTTATACAAAACCGATATTCATATTAAAATTAATTAATAAATTACAGGTATTTATATGTGTGTATGTATTTTTTGTTTTAGATTCAGTATGTCTTTTTATAGAATATTAATACGATATGTGCCAATGATAACTTTTCCAGTAGCTTTTGTTGCTGGTGTCATTGGTTACAATTTAGAACGAACAGTACGTGATGTAACCACCCCCTCTAAACCTAGTATTTTGGAAGAAAAAAGAAAGAAAAAAAATGATCCAAAAATTTATTATGAAGAAATACCGGTTTTAGATAGAAATCCATCACCACAATTTAAAAGATGATTCATTCTAAAAAATTTTTGTTTGTAATTATATTAGTTTAGTTAATTAAATTTTATCAAAATAAATATGATATAAATAATTAATTGACTATTTATATTGTCCCTTATTTTAATGGATGCTATACCAATAATGTGAAAATTATTTTTATAGCTAGTTCAAGTTCATCAAATTGAAAATTGATTAAACTATTTATATTTAATATGATTATTTTAATAACTGTAATAACATTGATATAAAAATTTGTTGGAGGAAAATAGTTTAAAAAATTTTAGAATTTAATATAGTGCGTAATGTCAATAAAGAAATTTAAAATAGGTACTTATCACAGGTGGGTTTTGATAAAATGTATAAATAGTAAACACTAAAAGGTAAATTATTATCTTAATATTGTAAAAGTATTTTCTGAGAAATGCTCAACTCTTTACAATACAATACATACAATATTTTATTATCAACTAAAAATTTATGAAAATACGTAAATAGCACTCACAAATTCATTACATATTTTTTTTACTTTACCTAGTGAAAAATATTCAAATTTTTCTCTCAAATAAGTAAATAAAATAATAATAATAAACTATGGTATATGAAAATTAATTAATTAATGAACAAACCAAAAAACCATCTGTAAACAGTATGATACAAAAATGTATGAAATGAGATTTATATATTTAATTTTTAAAACTAGATAATAGTTTTTTATGTTTTTAACTAGAAAATATTAGAAATAAAAATGTATTTAGTCTTTTATTAATGATAAAAATAATTAAAATTTAAAAAAAATATCTATAAAAACATTTTTATGTAAACATATAATTTTTATTTTAAAGAATTAATAGTCTTCAGTCATTCAAAAAGATTTATTTATCTTATAAAAATAAAAATCTTTAATTTAGTATACAATGATATGAAAAACAACCTACGAGTAGCAGAGCTTCGTCACCAGTTAGCTTGTTGCTGTTTTAATACTTCTTAAATAATTTTGGTTGCAAGAGTTACTTACTGGTATTAATAATTAAGTTTGAATTTATTTAAGATATGTTTTACTAGAAACCCCCATTAGCTACATATACCTCCATTTATTGTATTATTTTATGGTCATACCCTTCTTTCAAGTATACAAATTATCCCACAATCTTTGAGTTAATAAGGATAGGTATAAGGAATTTAACAGAATAGAATTCATCCAAATAGGTAAAGTAGTAGGAGTTATATAATTAGTGGTGAGTATTGAAGTTCGAAATCTCTAAAAGGCAAGAGAATGCTTGATATTACGCATAAACAAAGTTTTATTTCCTTGGCTTTATTTGGTGGGGAACACCCTTCTTTCTCAACACGATAAAGTTCAAATTGATATTCAACCAAAATTTTATCACTGAATTCACTTATAAAAAAAAAAATCTAATTCCTGAGTTTGGTCCAGTGAGCTGTAAAGTGCCCAAAATTATTGGGAAAAACAGACGTAATAGAATTTATTTCCTAGGAAAATTCAATAAAAACAAATGAAAAATGAAACTCAAAATAACTGAATTGTACAAATATCAGCTTTCAATGTTTGTTTAATAATTTACCCTGAGTTTAACAATTTATAAAAATTTAAAGTTATAATAATATATTATGTTAAGTAAAAAAAATATATGAATAGTGTATGAGAGTATACAAGTGTACATTTACATAATGATAAGGTAATAAATTATAATCTGTTGATAGGTAAACAACATTTCTTTTATCTAAAGTAACATTTTGTTGCGATAGTAATTCACATCATTTAATAATATTTATATTAAAAATATATATATAAGATAAAATATTTCAAGTTAACAAAAAATATAAATTAATTAATAAATAAATAAATAATGGTAGACAAAGGTCACAAAATGGATATTATTAAATGCTTCTCTTGTCACTTAAATTGAGCTCTTTACCCAAACTGTTTCTTTGGTCAATGTATTAAAAATGAAACAAAACATAAATTTACTTTCTATCACTATAAATCTGTACTTTCATGTTCTTTTTTTACATAACTAACCGGTGGCGGAGGTGGTGGAGGTATAGGCCGTTGAGTTCTCGTTGGTGTTTTTAAAGATGCTGGCAATTGTCCTATAATTAATGCCAGATCATAAATTAAATTGATTTTTTAATAGTTAACAGCTATTATTAGATTATTATCAACCTGTTGTTTGGGCATCAGAAAGTGTTCGACGGTGACTAGAAAAATTTGGACTTTTATAAACGTCGTTGTCATCATTTGGACTTTCTTGGTTCGAATATGCTTCAATAAAATCTTAAATATAGGTATCCAATTATTGATTTTGTGATGTATATTATAGTTAATTAAATTAGATAATCAATCTACTATGTCCAATAATTGTGTACAGTGAATTTAAAATCTATACTGAAATTATTGTATTATTTGAAATGAAGATTAACTTAACTAGAGGTTAGATAAGTATTAGACATATGTAGGTATCGACAGATTGATTGTATATTATCTATAATTTTCATTATTAAACATAATACTTACCAATATGTGGATTTTGGTCGATTTCTTTATCATCACACTGATCACCAACTTGTATTAATGAAACTTGTTGTTTAGATACAGTATATAAGTGTGCTCTTTCCAACATAGGTCCTCCTCGATCCACCTACAATTTTTTTTGTTAGAAATGAATATCTACTTAAATATTATTGATAAATATTAATTATAATTACATCAGTTTTATCATTAGGAATATCAGTCAATACTCGAAGACTTCTAAATGATGAACTTAATGGTCTTTGTAAAGATGCTGGTCGTTCAGGTATTGCAGGTTTACGGAGAACTGTATCATCAGATGTTTCAAGTATTGTGCGTGGCGCAACAGCCGGCTTAACAGGACGTTTTAATGAACCTGAATCAACAGCTGGTAACTTTTCTCGAAGAGATTCAGAGGTTTGACTAGGTTTCGACAAGGAACCAGGCGGAGGTTTATCACAGTTTGCTTTATCTTGGTCTTTAATAGTAACCACAGGATTTTCAAATATATTATTGGCATTATTAGTTTTAATTGTTGGTGATGGTGGAACAGGAGCTGGTTTACTTTTACGACCTCTGGTGTGTGGTTTAGGGCTCTCTGAGGGGGGACTAAAAGTATTAAAAATTTGTTAGTAGTTTAAAAAAATTCTTCTAATGATTTCTAATTGTTTATTTAATTATAAATTTAATAAAATTAATATTTTACTAAAATTAATAAAAATTAAAACATAAGTAAATATAATTAATACTATATAGTAAATACCTCATATCAGTTATATTAGTACTAGATCTACTTCGTTTCAAATTTGTGTCAAGAGGTGCTTCATTTGTAGAGATCAAATGCGTATCTCCACTACTTGATCTTTTATGACCATTAAAATCATTTATGTCCAATGCCTTTAATGTGACATAAAATTCTTCTTCTGTAAATCATATAACTCGATTATTAATAAATAATCAAAATTTAATAAATTAATATGTATTCTTACCTCCAGGAAATATCCAATCTGAATGGGAAATTAGACAGTCTACAATTATGTTATGATACCCAGCTGCATTCAATCTAGTTGAAGGAATAACATTTAATTTTAACAATATTAATACAATAAATTATTTGTTACATACAAATCCTTACCCTATATTATCACTTTTATCTTCAGGTGTCCATAAAAGATTTGGTGCAATAACAATAGCCAAATTTTGTGGACTCATTTTGTTAACATCTTGATGTTTGGTCAACAAAGCCAAAAATTTAATAATATAACGTAAGTTATATAAATTTGATTGAGGTAACTTTTGAACAACATTCAAGGTTGCTTGAAGTCTACTTTCACTAGTTTGTAGTCTAAACAAAATTATCATTAATAGTAAAAACAAAAACAAAATAAAGTATATTATATCTAAAACAATTTATATACACACTTAGCTGCAGCCATCCATTCTTCATATAAATGATGTGTTAATAGGGGTTCTGGTAACTGTCTCAAATAAGACTTTAAAACTCCAGCTAATATATGAGGATCTCTGCATTCTACAGCAGATTCTAAATCTAAACAGTTAGAATCTAATCTAAGCTTCATGCAACGCACTTTAGAAGCACCAGCAGCAATTCGGAATAATCCTTCTTCTTCCACTCCCATTTCCAATAAAGCACAAATACATAATTCAATTGGATAGGCTATCCGTCTACCAGTAACTCTTAAATGGTCTTCAAGTTTTTGACAAAAAACTGGCTTAGTAGGGTTACAATCTACATAGAAATCAAATGGTATTATTGATAGCTAATAATAAAATTATATAAAATACCAATAACAGTCTCTAATTCAGGAACTATATCATCTAAAACAGCCAGTGCAGTTTGGTGGTATGAACGTTGATGTTTTACTAATTCTATAAGAACAGAAGAAAATTCTGCTTCTCTTGATATTAATTGAAAAATTTCTGATGCTAAAGAATCCTAAATTGAAAAAAAATATCTATTATAGAAACCAATTATAAATAGTTTGAATATCATACTCTGCACTGTTCAACTTTCAGTTCTATATCTTCTAATTCTTCTTTAACTGTGTCTACTTTACTTGTATGGGAACTACCGGAATTTGAATTTTTCAAAGCTGTATGATACCTTCAAAAAACAAAACATAATAATTGTAAACAAATGAGCAGATGAGAAATACTTTATTAAAATTGAATTCTAACATAAAAAAATATAAATTTACTTTGCTTTAGCTAAATCCATATCAAGAACTAATTTTGTCAGTAAACGTTTTTGCTTTATAATATTTGGTACATCTACATCAATAACTTGCTGTAGTTTATTAAGAACAGTTTGTTCAATGCGTGATTCATAATCAACACCAGCGTTAGCTAAACATATTTGTACTTTACTACATTCCACTAATACTTGTCTGAAAAATAATTAAAATTGTATACAATTTCAATATATTTTTATTTATTTAGATACAGAAGTAAATTGGGTTTACATTATAGGTACATAAATAAATTTAAGGTTGAATTCTTGTAGAACTAAAGATATATTAATATTTAATATTACTAAAATATAAATACATTTTAAAATAAAATTGAAGTGATAGTAAATTATTTGATGGGATTACAACCTACGCTCACTTTTAAATCCGTCATCCATTTTTAGTTTATTACCAACAATAAAATAGACAATGTTTTACCTTAATAAATTATCTTCCTCACAGGTACCATTATCGAGCATTGCCATGGCTAGCAAATAGTCTGGCATTTTTTTCTGAAAAATTCAAAATTACATCACTAAGAATAATTTTTAAACAGATATGTTACTTACTAAACGTTTTTCACGTGCAGGAGGATCATGACCAAGACCAGGTGATACTAATGTGGCTACTAATTTTTTTGTGGTATTATGACAGGCATTCTTTATGAACTCCACTCGCTTTTCTGCTATTTGTAATGTATCAGAAAGAGCTTCAGTTTTACCAGACCTTTTGAATATAATATTAAAAAAAGATTTGTTATAGTAATCTATAAATGAAACACAATTTAAGAGGTATTATACCTAGAAAATGTTTGGTCAGCAAACTGCTTAACTTTAAAAAACTGTCTTTTCATCTTCTTTATTTGGAAATAACTTGGAGGTATGAGTGAATTCGATTATATCATATTATTTGCATAAATTGAGTAGTTACTATTCTGAAAACAAGTAATAATATTATTTAGAAGACTATTTTATTAATTTCAATGGCGGTTATTTATTAGAGTCAAATTTTATATTTGAAAATTAAGTTATATGTATATAAGATACAAAGCTAAAATCTACAGGACAGATATGAATACAGTACATTCTGGACAAAAAAAAAATAAAAATTATGGGGACATAATTAGCACTATGACCTAGTTATGTCACAATTGTATGTGGAAATTCAAAAAGGTATGATAATAAAACATAGGGTTATTTTGTTTAAACTAATAAAATAAAAATATTTATAAAAAAAAAAAACAAGCTTAGATTAGACAAAAAATATTGAAAGTACAAAAAAAAAATAAAAAAAGCCTAGGTTGTAAGTATTTCATATTACTCTCAGTATTTCTATTAAATTTGTTCTCATTTGTATGTATGGAAAAACATTTGATCTAGAATGTTGAACTACAATAATATGTAAGACGGTTTTTTTTGTACACTCAATGTTATTTTTCTAAAAAAAGCTTGTTATTTTATTTATAGTTTTGTTCACTTCATTAAACTAAATATATATAATGTAAATTCATAAACTACCAATTAATAAAACTGTCAATGTTTTCATAGGTAATAAATAATATAAAATATTGTAAATTTGTTGAATTTAAAAAATAAATAATGTCGTTTTTATGGAAATATAGAGAAACTTTTGTTTATAAAGCAATAAAATAAAACATTGATACGACCAAGAATTATTTAACATCACTGTTAAAAAAAAATATACATATTATACTTATATACGTCTGAAAAAGTTATTTTTAACCAGATGATGGGTAGGCCAAATCTATACAATGGCCATGCAGTATAATTAATTAAAATTAAAAAGCAAAAGAAAATTACAACAGATGCACTCAATAACACCATCGAAAATAACATAAAAGTTTAAGCAGTAATTTAAATATTTTTATTAGTGTTAAAATGCTATAGAAATAACATTTTTATATAATATATATATTTTTAAATTTAACAATTGCATTAATAAATTACAATATGGACATCAAATAATACAATATTAAAATTGACATTTTAGTATATAAAATATTTTTAAGATTATTTAAATTGAACATATAACATAATATTGTATATATTATACACAGTACACACAGTTTAATAAATACAAATAAAAGTGAAAGTATACATATGATGCACAATGAATACTTTATCCAGACAATGAGTCACTACTAAAATACTTAAAAATAAATATTACATATACATTAAGATTATATTATTCATTAAACTTTATTCTGAAGTTAAGGTTTCTTACAATCATATACTAGTAGGTATGGTTTATAGGTACATATATTGTTCTAATAATTATTTATTTATTTTTTTACTAGAAAAAGGGTGTATTAATATTTATAAAACTATTAAATATTTAATAAGTAGTATAATATAGTAATAATTTCACTCGACAAATAATCTAATTTCATTTCAGATAAAAACGATTTTTTAACTAGATAAATGTTTATTATTAATAACACTTAATTTTGATTAATTATTTGTCTTAAATTTGATACAATATTATGAATATATGAATCATAAACCAATCACAATATTATATATACCTAAACATATAGGTACATTGTTTAATTCAATAAATGTTTATTCAGTAATTTGTTTAACTAAACGTATGTAGGTACTCATATTTCTAATAATGCTTGAGTATTTAAAATATCACAAAATTACTGCTTTTATTTGCCTTCTGTATATAAAATAAAACAGCATAAACATAACAAAAACAATTATAATATTGATTGAATAATATTTAAGTATAGAAATTATAGAACTATTCTAAATAGTATAATTATTTGAAGTACCTATCTATAAATTGATGAACTTATTTTATTTTTTTAATTACAAGCAAATTACAATGATCAGATATTATACCAACTATATTGAATATTAAATATATTTTCAAAATTATTTAGAGGTAATTCAATACAATCATTATCAACATATATATTTAGCACAAACTATACTTAATAAAAACATAAATATTTGATTATTACCTAACTAATAAAACATTAAATGAGGTCACTCATGCATTTATTTTAAATTTTTTTTATTAATTCAACAGTAATATTATAGTAATTTATAAAATCCACAATCATATTTAACCAAATTAAATTTTATAAAAAAAACCAAAAAAAAAAACAAATGGACATATTTTGCAGGATAAGTGGGCTACTGTTGTAGATGATAAGTTAGTAAGGTAGAAGGGAAATTTAATAAATATCATCTGTATGCGACAATTAATCATTGCTAACAAAAAACGATTCTGAGCAGAGTTCAGTTATACAAGTTTTAAAAGGCAGGGATATTTAATATTTTAAAATAATAGATTTTGTAAATTTCCCAATTTTTTTCCACTATGAAAATAATTGTGAAAATAGATATGACCTCTTACAGTACCACCTCAGTCAAATTTCATTTCAGAAAAGGCGCTACACTTGAAAATTGCTGGTAGAAAAGTTGTTCACAAATAAAAAAAAACGTTGTAAAACCAATAAATTCCTTGCTCCGCTCAAATCTAAAATAAGTACATTTTGTTTATATTTTTATCAGATTGAATCAATACAATTAAGTTTTATTGAATAGCTACATAAAACAAGTAAATTTAGTAGATAGTTATTAAATTAGTTTATTTTATATTAAGCCTATGTGGGTTAATTAATTAAATTTAAATTTGAAATGAATTTGTTATTACTAATCAATCCTAACCTCTCATATGAGTGTTTTATAATTCAATTTGTTTTGTTTTACTATTATGTTTATAAATTTGTTTTAGAGAATTAATAATTGACTTAATAAAAGCATTAATTTTAAACAATGAACTATTTTTATTTTTAATAAGATACAATAAAATATATAATTTAAATATTAAGTAAATCAATTCTGTAGAAAGTTTAAGACTTATATTATTAAAACCTTTAGTATTATTTAATACATTACAGTTTTAGTAAGTAAATAATTAAAATAGTACTAAGTTTAAAAATCATTAAATTTTCGTTAAATCTTGATATATTATGTATTAACCTAGGCATGCTACAAAGTAAAGACAATTTTTTTTTTAAATTTTCAGGAAATATAGCAACTGATTTTCTAAATGAAAAGTATAATACTGTACGAATACATACATAATTTAAACATTTAACTTAAATTATATAACAAACGTATTGTTATACTACCTTATGTAGTTATTTGCATTAGTTCTAGTAGATACATAGGGAATATTTCACAACAGATCCTTAATTATAGATACCTTATGATATAATATTTGAAAATCAAACTGCAAGACTTTACCTGTATAGTAATGAAAAATGTTTGTTTGAAAATAGTAAACAATTGGGCTTACTGTGTAATGACTGAGGACAGACGTTATCCTCCAACCATTGAATTGCAAGGACAACCACAGCATAAGACAGAAACGACGTTTTTAGAGGAAAAAATTTAATTTTTCTACCATTAGATAAGGAAAAACTGATGAAGGAAAATGTCAACATTTGTTACAGCGCTGCCAACTAAAATAACTTGCAGATTGTCATCTTTAATGTACTTAACTTCATTTTTATTTAAGATAAAACAATTATAACCGACTAGTAGCATGAATTATGGAACTAGAACATTAAATTTGACAAATATTATAACATATCACAACGATTTCCAAACAATAATCTTATGTGACAATTTACAAATCATTTCAGAATATTTAGATTCAATACAATTATAATCGGGTTTAAATATATTGTAATCTCGATTTTTTCTCCCTGCACTGTACACGTAATCATTATAGTTGGCAGAATCGATTATAGTCCTGATAATCGAAAAATTTTCTTTGAATTTTCTCTTGTTAGTCTGTCAGAATTTTTGTAAAATATACATTTTAAAGTTTAAATATTTCAGTGATCATATTAAAATTTGGTACTCGACAATAAATGCTGTACAAGAATGGCTGGACAAATAGTGAGTATTAATAATGTTACCTACATATTTCTATTGTAAATAATGATTATTCTTTATTTTCGAAACAAAGGTGCTGTGTCATTGAGTACTTCTTTTTTTAAAAAAATAAAAATATTATTCAAATTTTGAAGTGTATTTTTTATGTATGCTAAAATTATTTAGCTATTATTTTAATAGACACATATTAAATTTTAATGTAATTTGATAATATGGTTATTTTTATCATATTTTCATTATAATTTTATATGCTTTTAGGTGTTTACTTTTACTAGGTTGTTGAATTTGTTTAAAGAATTAATTTAACAATAACGCACTAAAAAATATACCTATTTAAATGAAATGTTAATTTTCTTTTATAATTATAATTTTTAGGTATTACGAGTAGAGTCTCCAGATGGAACAAGAAGAGTACAAGTGTCACCAACAGAATCAAATCACGATTTATTTGAAAAGGTTAGCAAATTAAATATCTATGGTAATGAATTTTTTTTTTTTGGGGGGGGTTTCCAGTAAAACATTTTATAAATACTGAAAATTACATAACTCAATGTATTTTTATTTGTATTAGGTATATACAATTCAAATTATACAGTAATTCTAAAATATATGTTTAAACAAATTATGTTTGCAGGTTCATGATGTATTTTCTCTTAACAACTATGGTTTCACATTGTATTATGACCGTGCTCGTAAAAATGAAATTAAATCATCTAGAAGTGTATACTTAAACAGTTTAAATCTGAAACACGGAGATAAGATATACTTGTGCCCATTAGATCCTAATGATATATGGGCAATTCCTGGCCCATCAAATGCAGAAGCTACAAATGGAAGTCGTTCATCATCAGTTGTATCAACACCAGGATCTAGTACATCACTGCCATTAAATGAAAAGAAAAGTTCAGGATCAACAAGTCAAGTAGAAGAAGATGAAGTAGATAAGCAATTATGGAAATTAGATGGAAAGATTAAACGTGTCAAAGACAAAAAATAGTAATAAATATCAACTTACTGATTTGTATTGAGTGGTTATAAAGATTATTTTTTTTTAGTTGCCGTCATGGAGATAATGGATGTTGTGTTCACTGTTCTCCATTAGAACCGTATGATGAAGAGTATTTAAAAACTCAAAATATGAAACATTTATCTTTTCATTCATACCTAAGAAAAATGACAGCTGGTGTGGCAAAGTGAGTTTATTGTGTTTGTGCAAATAATATCCATGTTAATTAACATTTGTTTTAGAGGGAAATTTTTACTGTTAGAAAATATAAGTTGTCGTATAAAAGAAGGTTGTACTGGACATTTACCATGGCCAAGAGGTATATGTTCAAAATGTCAACCATCAGCCATTACATTAAATAGACAGGTAAATAAACAATTTTAGGTAATGAAAAATGTTTTTATTAATTAATCTAAAATTGTTTAATCAATAGAGCTATAGGCATGTTGATAATGTCATGTTTGAAAACTCTGAAATAGTTGAGAGATTTTTGGACTATTGGAGAGTATCGGGTCATCAACGTATTGGGTTTTTATATGGAAGATATGAAATGCTCCCTGATATACCACTTGGTATAAGGGCTGTAGTTGCAGCAATTTATGAACCTCCTCAAGTAAATTATAACAAATATTAATGGTTAATTAAATTTAATGTTTTATTAGTTAAATTATAAATATTATTTTAGGATAGTTCAAGAGATCATGTAAAATTATTGCCTGATGAAAAACAAGAATTAGTTAATGAAATGGCCAGATGTTTAGGGCTTACCTGTGTTGGTTGGATTTTTACTGATCTTTTAACTGAGAACATGCAAAATGGAACGGTACAGACTTATGAGGTATTTTTATAAATTAGTATTTTATTTTATATTGTTTTTAGGTAAAACATGTTAGAAATATAAAAAGCCATTTTCTATCAGCTCAAGAGTGTATAATGGCTGGTTACTTTCAAAATTTACATCCAAATCCTTGTCGATATGCATCCAATGGATTTTTTGGTTCAAAATTTGTTACTGTTTGTGTGACAGGTATGAAATTAATATTTACATACTTTAATAATAATTAGGAAATAGATTTCCTAATTTGAAATATTTTTGGAATCACTATTGTTATTATTTTAAAACATAGTTTTATATCTTAGCTTTTAGCATAATTTACATGGTACTTTTTCTAGGAGATGAAAAATGCCAAGTACACATGGAAGGATATAGTGTGTCAAATCAATGTATGGCATTAGTTAAAGATGATTGTTTGGTACCAACAAAGGATGTACCTGAATTGGGTTTTGTTCGAGAATCTTCAGACAAACAATATGTGCCTGACGTCTATTATAAGGTATGTCATGTAAAATTTAGTTCTCACTTTAATTTATCAGTATTTAGGTAGTATTATTTAAAGCACTAAACTCTATTCAACTTAAGAGTATACCAAAATAATGCAAAAACATGTCCGTTTTTGGGTATGCATTCCTACTCTTGGTTATTGGTACAACTTCATCCACTCATCCACCTGTCAGTCTTGTCACCGCCGATACACATGGTATACAACATACACAGAACAAAATATCAATAACATTTCGTTTTAATATCCTTACCGCGTACACATATTTCCTCGAATAAATGTTCTATTTTGATTTGAATAAATACTACAATTTACGTTTTAAAAAGACGTTATACCTGTTTCTACTGTTTCAGTTCAACTTTCGGGTAACATGCAAAAAAAATGCTTATGAAGAATAAGTAAAACTAGGTTAATTTTGATTTTTAAGTAAAAGTTATTATGAAATTATAATTCATAAATTACAATATTTTGGAGGAAATGTTACAGGGGTTTTGTATTATTTAAAATATACAAAAAGATAAAAGATAAAAAAGATAGAAAAACCTGTTCAAAAAAACATTTCAAAATAATTTTGAAAACACTTGACATTCCTTCTAAAATATTATTCTCTATAAATTTCATAATTGGTACTTTTACTCAAAAATTTAAATTAAGCTAGTTTCACTTATTCTTTGTAAGCATTGTTTTTGCACGATACCCAGTAGTTGAACTGAGATAGTAGATGTGGGTTTAACGTCCTCTTAAGTAATGTAATTTTTCTCTGTTTTCCGTTAGTTTAATAAGTTACATTATACATTTATATTACAATGATTTATTTGGTGGTAGGTATTTAGATATTACGACTCGCTGTGTACATGGTGGCGGTGGTGACAACCATAGTGTACCACGTACAGGATTGTATGATCCATAAAGATTGTTCTTGATCAATTAATTAGAAGGTCTGTCAAAATGTAGCGTTCAGTTGCGTATGTGCAACTTGTGTACTCTTGAATTTATTAGAGTATAGTAAGAATTACTGTAGATTGATCTATAAAGATAGAAATACATTGTTATGAATATTATAAATTGTTAGTGATATGAATACATCTAAAACAGTATTTTATAAGATCTGATAGGTAATTTTATAATTTCTATTTCAAACAAGTATTAGTTTTATTTATATGAAATACATAAAATTGTATGTGTTTTTCATTAATTATTATATTTATAGTTTTATACACTACATGAAATTGAAAAAAAAAATGTATACATTTTATAGTATTGTCATATTGTGTTTATATGCATAATGAGGCATGCATTGGGTCTTTTTTATCCTGAAAAATGATTAAACAAAGCCCAATATGAATAATTTATATATGTCTAAGAAATTACACAGTTTAAATAGGTAATTTGGTAAAATAGAAATAGGAAAAACAGAAAAAGAGGAGATTTATTTAAATATTGCGATATCCGTCAATTGCGTGCCCACGCATACTTGTACATTTGAATAGCAAAGCGATACATGTATGTCATAATATATATATATATGTTCACATACTACTAGTATGTAAAAAAATATATACATTTATTGAAAAAAATGATTTTGATTGAGAGAATACACATTATGAACTTAATTCAACTTTGAATAAAAAATTCTTGTTTGCTTTAAAATTGAATGATTTAAACAAAATAATGTTTATACATTTTTATACTACTGGCTTTTTTAAGGTCTAATTATGTAAATAAAACCTCAAGAAATAATTATATCTCTAGGTTTTATTAATTTTTTTTATTATCTTCAGAGTTAACATTTTTTTATTCAACGTAATATAATATGACAAGTCAAAAATGAATAGTGCAACCATTGACTAGTTCAATTACTATTTATATTTTTAGGTTGTTGTAATATTAAAATATGAATATGGATAGTAAATATGTTTCTTAAGTTACATAAAAAATGTGGTATAATTATTGAGCTTTTGAAATTTATGAGTTTGAATTATTAAGTTTATATTCATTTCTGTTTAATATATAATTCAGTATGAGACGGAAACCATTTCATTATGATTGGAACATTCATTTTAAGTCCTATTTGTAAAACCAAATATGGAAATGAAAATCATTTTTCAAATAAGTAAATAGTAGTTTTTTGGTTATTTGATTTAGGATGTGATTATGTCTATTATTAAAGACCAAGTGAAGACACATA